GGAATTTCTCCTCCATTGTTCTTCTGGCAAACGGGTAAATAAAAAATGATCTCACCGAATTTGGTGGAAGCTGCATCTCGCTCGTTATGTGGTTCGCCATTATCCCTCTAATTGTCTGCACCTGCGCATTGGGCTTCTAAAGCGCAGTATTTTCAGAGCCCCAAGAACTTTGCACTATATTTTACAAATACAGTTATGTCCCTGACCCATTAATATTCCAGACTATATGCCTCCTTCTGACAGCACCAGTGTTTAATATGAAACAGGCCACTTTTAGTGTATAATGATTAAGCCCCACAGTGATAGCTACACTTTGAAATTGTCACTTTTTCATCATTCATATCAGACTTCATCAAAACAAGGAAAGAAACCCGGCTTCTGTCATCACCTTTCTAATCCAAAATACAATGAAGGATTCTGCACAATGTGTAGGATATGAGAAATCCAATATGTACATGATATTGATGTGACGCACGCGCGCTGGCAGTCCTTTCATCAAAGCACATGTGCTGAAATAGCTCTACCTCACTGGCATTTCTCATCCAACGGGCTTCGCCCCTCTCCATTCTCACATTGGACGATTGACCAATGGTGAACCAGCTCACAATGGACCGAGCCTATCGCCTGCCAAGCTCACAATGGAACTCCGCCAATCACCGCCACGATAAACGGAACCTATCAACGTCCGAGCTCACAATGGACCTCGGCCAATCAATGTCTGAGCTCACAATGGAAGTCGGGCAATCAACGTGAAGCATAACTTGTAGAAAAAAATAGAGAGAGAAAAAAACAAGTTGCCGATCTTATTAGAAAATTAAAAAAGAGAGAGAAAAAAAGTTGCCGATTTTAGAAAATTTAGCTCTCGGTGGCCAACTTTTTTCATCAAGAAAAAAAGAACCTTACATTAAGTATACATTTATATAGTTTATTTTTTCCTTCCATTCAAACAACGTTATTCCCTCTTTATTTCACATTAGCTACGAATAACATAACACAGATTAAGTAAATTAATGGTATTATGATGTCACATATATCCTCTTTATTACATATTAGCTAAATATAATATACTGTAGATTAAATAAATTAATGGTATTATGATGTCACATTTTCCCTCTTTATTACACATTAGCTAAATATAATATACTGTAGATAGAATGAATTAATGGTATTATGATGTCATGTTCTGTTAGCAAACTAACAGTTTTGGAAGGTTAAGGTTTACAATATAGTAACTTTTTAATTTAAAATGTCAGTAAAAATGTTTAAATCCTTTCATCTCATACCAATTGTTAGCTGTATAAAGTGCATTAATACTGTATTATGTTTGATTCTTCTCTTTTTTTTATATTGTCTTCAGATGAGCACCAAGCCAAAGAGCCATAAAGGGATGGGAGATGGGGAGTGGATGGCAAGGCTCAGGGCATTTGCCAGCAGTGGGGTTTGGCCTTCAGATGCTGGAAATAGACCAGCCCCAAGGCAGAAGAAATGGCATGATCTTTATCAGAAGGTGAAGTGAAGCCACTGTATAAAATAAATTAATTAATTAATAAGAAAAAAAAAAGAGACATGAGTAATTGTCATTTAATAGGATGATGCTGTACTGTTTCAGATAGAAAAATGCCCGATGCAAACCCAAGGTCAGACCACCCTTTTTGGAGGGTCTGTGTCGTGTAATTGCAGCTTTCACTCTGCTAAGGTAAACTGGTTTAAAATAACAGCTATGTCTTGTCTTTTACAATTCTGGTGAATGATCTTTTTATACCTAGAATATATATCTTTTTTTAGCCTGCTCTGCAGCATCCTCCTCCTGTGACCCAGCACTCTATGGCTGCACCATCTACTTCTGCTGATACAGCTCCAGCCGCACGGTCTTTCTTGAGGGTCCCTCTGTCTTTGTCCATGGTAAATGTTTTGTTTCTCTGCTAAATACTTCATAGGATTACATTTGCCTTGTGCAACAAACCATAATAACAGCTTTCAAGCATCATGTTTTTGTGTATTTAGATGCTACGATTCATATTAGATTTATTTTACATTAGTGTACATTTATTATTTCAGTTCACTAAATCCCGTTTTGGCGGGTCTCTGTCGGATTCACTGAAGCCCAACTTGGTGGCCCGGAAAAAACCTACCCCGTCTCCGTCCTCTGTGAGGACCTCTACCCCGTCTCCGTCCTCTGCGAGGACCTCTACCCCATCTCCGTCTTCTGTGAGGACCCCGACTCCGTCTCAGTCCTCTGTGAGGACCTCTACCCCGTCTAAGTCCTCTGTGAGGACTTCTACCCCGTCTCAGTCCTGTGTGAGGACCTCTACCCCGTCTCCGTCTTCTGTGAGGACCCCAACTCCGTCTCAGTCCTCTGTAAGGGACCTCTACCCTGTCTCCGTCTTCTGGGAGGACCTCTACCCCCGTCTCCGTCTTCTGTGAGGACCTCTAGCCCTTCTCCATCCTCCGTGAGGACGCTTATCCTGTCTCCATCCTCTGAAATAAGCCCTAGTCCCTCTCCATCTACAGAGAGCAGCCTAAGTCCCTCTTTATCT